CTGGTCCCTGGAATCAGGAAGAGGGGTGGGGACAAAAGCCCAGCACCCCAGAACCAGAAACTGCCTCAAACAACTCACTTAATAACCCTTAACTATTAGCCTTTGTCTGGAACTAGATGGCCCCCATCTGTATAATGGGCTATCCAGAGCCATCCAATTTGGCTGTGAAATGCCACCGAAATACTGAAGGCACAAGGCAGCTCCTGTGTTCCTTATTCTCATCTGGGCTTCATTTGTACAGGCCTGGCTACAGGTACCCAGGAATTCTGAGCACCCAACTCTATTAAACTCGGGCACTGTGCTCTTATCACATGGTGAATCCTAAAAGCCATCCCTGGCTCCTCCTTGTGACCTTTGATCCACATGGAGGGAAGTCGTTTCACTGTAATATGTCACCATCCTCATGCTCCCGCCATCTTTTGCACTGGCCATGGCTACAGAAGTCACAGTCCTAGTTTCTAAAACTTCAGCTTGTTCTCCACCCTGCCCCATGCTAGAGCACCATTCAGCCCACAAAAACTGAAGGCCTCCAACCAGCCCTCCAGACAGGTGATGAGCAGAAAAGACGCACAGGGGCTCTCCTTGCCTGGGTCTTCCAGTCTGGCAGGACACACTAACAATAAGCAAAGACGCTGAATGAGATATCGGGGTGATAAGTGATGACAATGAAAGGAGAGGTAGGGGGAGACTCCTAAAAAAGCCCCATCTGGCCATGTGTTCTTTCTCTGCTAAAAGCCCAAGAAAAGCAAATAACAGTGTTAAAGGAAAACACACAACAGATAAGATAAAGCTCGCACAAAATACAAAGGGTTAAGACCCTGTAGATAAATGGGTAAGGAACTCAAGGACTGCATACTCTGCCTGAAGGAAGGAATGTGATGGGGTAAGAATATTTGGGGAAAGGTTGAAGCTCAGGCATGGAAGGAAAGCCAATTCAAAAACAAAGAAGTGCTTCCCAGTTACTACATTAGTAGAATGTTCTCAAAATGAAAACACCTAGTGTTAGCATGGTTGCTGTGAAACAAGTGTGCTGTTCTCATCCCGAGGGGGGGGGGATTTTGTTTTGGTAGTACCCTTTTGGAAATGAGTGTAACAATATACAACAGGAACTGGACAAGAGTAGGATTGGGAGCACACACCTTTAATCCCAGCACTTGGGAGGCAGCGGCAGGCTGATCTCTGTGAGTTTGAGGCCAGGCTTGTCTACAGAGCAAGTTTCAGGATGCCCAGGGTTGTTACACAGAGAAACCCTATCTAGAAAAACCAGAAAAAAAGAACCACATAATAAAGATGGACAGGGGTAGTGGTGCACACCTCTAATCCCACCAGTCAGGGGACACAGGAGAGCCAGGACTTCACAGAGAAACCCTGTCTCAAACTCCCTTTCAAAACAAAACAAAACAAAACAAAACAAAAGAATGAAAACCCTAAACAACAACAACAAAAGAATCAGACAAGAAAACCCCATACTTATGAGTTACTTCTGGGGCTCCTGCTTAAGAAACCACAGACAAGAATGCAGACTGGTGCACACAGAGTGAGTACTGCAAAGCATTTTTCTCAGGAGTGAAAAATGCTAACTCCCCTGAAAGAGCAACATTTAGCACCACTGCAGACCATCTATGCCTATTGAAAAGAGTCCTCACCTGGGCCAGAATTAAGGTGAGATGCTTGTGAAGTGATGCTAGGGAAGAAGCCACCCATACAGACTAAAGCTACCTCAGAGGGCCCTCCAGTTTTCCCCCTTTCTCCACCACTGTAGTGAACCACCAGTGAGCTCAGACTACTGAGCCCCTACCTCACCTGTCCCTGTTTCTGGGATGTTGATATTCAACGGTTCTGGGCAAATGGGGCTCTGTGGATACAGTCCAACCCTTCTGGCTGCACATGTCCCAGCCCCTATACCCTGTTGGTCTCATGGGCAAGCCTGCAGACTTCCTTCTCTATCTCCCAGGGGCCTCAAAGAAGCAGTGCTGTGGCATGGCTCATTTCTTTCTTTCTCAACGTTCTACCTTCTCCTCCCTTACATACTCATTCCAGTGTCAGAATGGGTATCTGGTGCTGCTTGGCCATGCATATCCAGACTAGGTCCTTCCTCCATATCGCAACTGTACCTGCAGGTAAGACCTTGGGATAGGCAGAGGTTGAAGACAACACAGAAGTTCTGCAATGTATCACACTTGTAAATATGGCTGGCTGGGGCTTGATTATGTTGTGAATGGGGTAGTGGTGGCATGGAGCCATGGATGCAGACAGCTGGAGAGACAGTATCCCACCCTGGAGTCTCCCTGTGCTTGGAGGAAGGATCTTTAACCAGAGATAAATACTGGTATTCTCAGAAGTCTCAGTGTGCTCTCTGGAGTAGGCTTTCTGGAAGAAGTGATAGGAACTGTCCTGGAGATGAGCATGGGAGGGAGGCACCCTACAATGGCGAAGGAAAGGGAATCCTAGGCGTTAACAATCAGCCTTACTCCTGCCCACACCTGGAGAGTACTTCCCCTACACCTTGTTACAGGCCCCTGCTGGTAAGGCCCCAACTCTAGCAAGAGAAAGGGAGGGGATAAGGGACACTCTCTCCAAAGTCAGTGCACAGTGCAC